TTTACCCTACACAGGGCTTTTCATCTCAAGTAGGAGACAGATCCAACTCAGTAACTCCAGTAATCACCAGTCTGAAATTATTTTCTAGTTACTAAGTATTTAAATGCAGAAAGCCTTGAAAGGTCATCAAGCTCCTTGCCATTAAATCCAATAATTATTTGATTCAGCTGTTAGTCTGAAGCAGCTTTCATTCTTCAGTGAATTTCCGATGCAAATGTTCACATTTTAGTAAACAAGCACAGAAATGCTTGTGATTGTAATTCATTTTTATTAGCCCACTGTACTTCAGCATTAGTAGTCATCTGAAGCATTTCAGAAACACAAGTTAAAATGATCTTAGAACAGTTGAAGTTTAGAATAAGTTGAGTTCAGGAAGTATTTTGCTTTACCTTCTCCAAAAACATACCCTTTTCCTTCAGCAGGACCAGACTCTTTAACTGGTTTTGGTGCAGTTTTTCCTCTCTTTTTCAGATATTCTTTCAGCTTTTCTGCTCGATCCAAGTATTCTGTACATTTTGCTCTAATGCTTTGTTTTGCTTTATCACCCTGTGCTTCATCTGAGAGTTTGAAGATAAACAATTCTTTGTTAACAGCAAAACACATGTGCATCAATCAAAAAACAAGACTAAAGATCTGTCTTCTTTATCTCTTATCAATGTACCTCTCTGAGGGCTCATGACATAACCAAACATCTCAACTACTTATTTTTCCACTATACCTTGGAAAGAACTGACCAGAAGGATGTCATATCAAATATTCACCTCAACATTGCCTTGGCTTAAAATTTGACTCTAAAGGATTAAGGACATTAGCACTGGAAGCTTTTCTGTCAGCCTTTCAAGCTGCTAGACATTGCCTTAATAACTGCTTTTCTAAAATAGCTAATCAAGAACCTGCTTGTGCTAGGCAATTTTTATTTAGAACCATACTTGATTCTTCCATAGCCTGCTAATTTTAAAAGATAAAGAAACATTACATAAAGCATCTGAAAGAACTAAGTGCGTTTCAACAGCCACACTGTTCTCATAATCACTCTTACAGTATTTCAAACCAACAATCAAAATTTAACATGTCAGGTTTTTGAGCTAAGTTTCCAAAAGTACATCAATATTGTTAAAAGCACAGAAAGTGATATTTTGAGAAAGTCTGTAATATTTAAATGGACAGGACATGATAAACACAGATTATCCTAATAATAAAGGACTATAAAAAAAACTAATTTTTTCAAATCATGAAGATTTGTAAGTGTACTTTTGTCAGGCAAGCAACCCTAGCCCACTTAGATTAGGGCTGTACCCACATTAAGAAAGCCCATTTCTTGCATACAAACACTGAATGTGGCACAAAAGGTACACAGAAGTGTGAAAAGGTGTAAAGTAATGAGAACATGGAAACTAAAGAAAAATTGTTACATACAAGTCCATCTCATACATTTTCTCGGCCAAGATAAACAGCAAGACTATGACATTAAGGAGCAAAAAATGTCAGCAGAGAGGCTTTAGAAGGGCAAGCAGCATGAATTAAAGGTGCAAAAAGCACTCTGCAGATACAGCAGACTTCATGTGTAACATGGTTTTCAGCACAACAGAAATACAGGGATCCCTGTACTTATTGTCATATTTCCTCGTGCTGTGGCCAGCTTGAAACACTGCTACAAAAGTCCAGAGGAGAGACAGCAAACACCTGCCTCCTGTCTTAAAAAAACCTAAAATAAAACACAAGTAAAAAATAATCTAATTTCTTACAAGAATGGAGCAAGCACACAACACAGTAAAGGTAAAAGCTGCAAAATATATGACTTCAGTCAAACTACAACTACCAAGTATCAACTGTTGATGAGAGCAAAAATTTAAATACTGATGTCAACATAAGAGATTACTCTTGTGCAATCTGATGACTAAACTCTACTGCATCATCCAACACATCACACTTACATTTAACAACATGGAGAAGATACTGCACGGCGTGTTGGTACAAGCGGAAGGCTTCCTCATAGTTTCCTGCTTTATCTTCTTGTGCTGCCTTGTTAGCAAGGTCTATTGCTTTCTGTAACACAAACAAATAATTAACTGCTGTACAAGAGCATTTTCCGTGATCAGAGACCATTTAAGCTGTTACTGTTCTTTGATGGACAGCTTTTCTGCTCCTTCACATTTACCCCCTCAAAGTTGTATTTCCATCCTTTCATGAACAGCAGGATTTACAAACTGCTGAAATTTGCTAGCACACAGAAAAGTGCAAGTGAGAAGGACAAGTTTCTAAGCTGGGACTACTATTTTGTCTATGTAGTCTGTCTTACCAATCTCTTACATTTCTTATGGAAAGATTTGGAAATCCATTATAAGGCTTGGGGTTTTTTTTATCACAGACATCTAAACTTTGAACTATGATATAGTTATGCTGTTTAAGGCATGGTTTAGGGGTGCACTTGACAGTGCTGGGTTAATGGTTGGACTCAATGTTTTCCAGCCTAAACAACTCTATGATTCTATGACTAATGACATCAGTAAACCCTGTAAACAGCAGAGTCAATATAGGAAGTACTTGATTACAATCACTGAAACTAGCACTATCACTCTTCAAACATTATGCTTGGAGACATCTTCAAAGACCAGTTGCTTAGTTTCTCTAGGAGGATTTAGATTCTTGATATCCTAGTGAGAAATTCCAATTATCACTCCAGTGGGAGAGGAGAAAAAAAAAACAAACCCAAACAGACAGAAAACATACCCAAATCTTAAGCACCAAAGAGTTCTATGAGAAGTTAAGAATGGATTTTTACTTTATTTGTTCAGCTAGTTTCAAATAAATCTGACTGAGATCTAAGCCACTGTATTGCACACACTGCCCTGTGGATTTATTGTATCACCACTATTCCGTTGTTGCTTGTTAGTGCTTATTACTTTTTATTACACTTTCCTTCTTGGAGTGCCCATACCACTTCCAGACAATTAAAACTGTCATTTTAACCACTGGTAAGTTGAAAGTTGAAAATAAGCAGTCAGCCAGAATGAACCAACACCAACTAAATATTCTATAGTCTCTCATCTATTTTTTCCCATGTGGTTCCCTTTCTGAAGCATTGCTCAGGATGATTATGTAATGTCAGGGAGCAAGGTTGAGAGTTTGAACTGCAGCAAGGAGTTTCCATTAGACACTCCAGTACAGATACTCTTGCCACTACCTACACTCTGATGTGTTTCAGGCAGAAAAAAGCTAGTAAACAACAGCCATGAAAGAAACTGCAAAATATCGCATTCTATTGCTTTGTGTTGCTGTCTTGGAAGCAAAGATTATCTCAACAGATCTATTTGAAATCAAAGGTATTTAAAAACAATGAACCAATCAAACAGATCACGGCTCTGTTGTGGCAAGTGCTGGAGCAGTGTAAACATCTGTTTCTTCGGAACAGAACCAAAGTCATTCCTTTTTGGAGAGGCTGGGAGCTCAGGAGCAGTTTCCCAGGTATAAATGGACAGCTGCCTCCTTGCTGCCCATTTTATGCTGACTCCCTTATGCACCTCTGTGCACCATTCAAATCTAGCAACAGAGCAAAAATTACCCCCCAAACAGTTATTTTCATATTAAAGTTCTTAAGTCCCGTCAGTGACTTTAATTACCCCAAGACAGCCCAGTAATTGTATTATTGCCCAATATCCAGGGCAACCCCCTGCATCCAGTACAACAGACAGTGATACACGTGACATTAATTCCAAAGAATAAATGGCAAAGATCACCTGCTAAAACAGAACTGTGAGAAAACAGGGCATGTCGCAGACCTGCTCCTCTGAAATGGGCAAAAGTCTGCATCACGTATTGCCTGGTTGTGCTATACTCTCTTTTTGTAAACAGCAAAGACTATTAGATTCTGGCTATTAGATTCTCAGCTCTAACACTTCATTACATCAGCTGCATCTTAGCCTGTTACTGTGAAGAACACCACTGCTATCAAACAGAAAACATTATTAGAAACTTGTATGAACTAGGGCATAGATGGCCAGTTCTGAGGCACAAACTATGTTTTATCAAGCCATGGGTTTATAGTTTGATGAACATCACCCAAGGAAAGAATGTCATCTTAAAGAGGTGTCATTCTTCTCCTGGTTATTATAAACCCTATAAACATCTCCTCTAGCTTTGTCAATGCAAACATCACACTGCCAGTGTAAACACTGCATACAAAAATGATCCCGGTTCAAACAGCTGAAGAGAAAGAAGGGCTGTTGGACCGCACTTATTTCACTTCGGGGTCTGTTTTGCCGGCCAGCCGCAGCACCGATTACACCGCCGGAGCCGAGGGTTAACACAAGCGGAACAGCAGAGCAGGCAAGGGCTCCCCACAGCCAGCAGGAGCCTTGCGGCAACACAACCCAAACCACGCGTCCGGAGCAGAAGCGGCAGCAGCGCTTCCCGGCCGGGCGCTAGGCCCCGCTGCCCGCGCCCCGCAGGGCTGGTGCCCCCGGGCCCGCCTTCCAGGGCCCCCTCCGCAGGGTCTCAGGCCCGGGGCGATGAGGGCTGACCCGTGGGCTCTGCCACCCCGGGCCCAAGCCGAGTCCCCCTCGGCTGCGGTGCCCCCGGCCCGCTGAGCAGGGGGCGTTTGCGCTCGCTATGCCCCCGCTCCGCCCGCAGCCCCGACCCCGGCCCGGGACGCTGCCGGCCCCGCTCCTTCCTGGCGCCGCCCCCCGCCCGCCGCCGCTTGCCGGGTCCGCCCCGCGCCGGGCAGGGCCGGCGTGGCTGTACCTGCAGGTTGCCGGTGTTGGCCGCCATGGCGGAGCGGCGAGGGGAGGAGAGGGAACGGGAGGAGAGTGGCGCGGGGAGCGGGCCCGGCCGCCGGTGGCGCAGCGCCCCTGCCCCACCGCCCGCGGAACCCGAACCGCGGCCTCCGCCGCCGCTTCCGCACCGAGCGCCGAGAGCCGCTTCCGCACCGAGCGCCGAGAGCCGCTTCCGCCTCCGCTTCCGGACACGCCCCGAGCGCCCGGCCCGCCCCGGCCCGGCCGCGGGTGCGCTCCGGGCCGCGCTCGCCCGCTGGGTGTTGGGGCTCGGGGGGGGACTCTGGGGAGTCCGACTCTCCAGACCGATTCCCCTGGCAAGGCAGAGCCACATGGAGCAGGTGACACAGGATCGCACCTAGGTGGGGTTTGGAATCTCTCCACAGGAGAGTCCACGGCCTCCCTGGGCAGCCGGTCCCAGTGCTCTGCCCTCCACGTAAAGAAGTTCTTCCTCATGTTGAGGTGGGACTGCTTGTGCTTTAGTTTATGGCCGCTGCTCCCCGTCCTGTGGCTGGGCACCACCAAAAACTGTCTGGCACCGTCCTCTTGGCACCTGCCTTGGGGATATTGATATGCATTAAATAAGACCCCCTCTCAGTCCTCTTTTCTCCGGATTAAACAGGTCCAGTCCTGTTTAATCAATCATGACAGTCATGGGCAAATGTCACTCACCCGTGGGTTAGTGACGAAGATCAGGTGACGGTGATGCTTACGGAGTGGGGAGGAGGAAGTGACTCAACGCACCAGCAATAACAAACCAGTTCTGGGAAGCCAACTTGCTGTATGGATATATGGACATCTGCTAAATAAGTATCTAAATATATGCTAAATATCTTCCCTTCGGGTTCATTAATTCCTTTAGGGCAAAAAATGTATCTTGTAAACTTGACTGTAATAAACCCCATTCTTCCAAGTACCACCAAATTACCACAGTGCAGCTTTGACTTAATAATTCCAGTGTAACTGTTTTGATTTTATTTTGTAATAAAAGTCCTCTGAACCTTTTTGAATCTGCGTACTCTGTGCACAAGGGAAAAAGGCACATCCACAGTTCTCCCTGTACCAGGGAAGGTCGTGGTGAATCTCTTAATTAAGTCATCTGGTTGGCAGTTTATTTTGGTAAGTGTCCTCATGAGTTGGGGATGCTTTGTTTGATTTTTAGACATGATCAATAACAGGTGTTCTCCTTGGATCAACTACAAATGTGTAAAGACATGATGTAGGAAAGACTAAGTTATGCAATCAGGCTTTGAGAAATGAGAGGGTAAAGAGAATCTGCCCCTAAAGACAACTGAAATTGGCCAAAGTGAAAGGAGAGATGATGATTTCTAAAGGAACCTTAAAGCAGTGTGGTCATCAGGATTCAAGCATAGCATCAGTGGTGGGAGGGGCTCAAGAAAATTGGGTTAAATACTGTATTTCCATTTCTTTCTTATGCCATCTTCAAAGGATGAGGCAAAACCATCCCTTTCACTCTTTCATGGTTGATTATGCCATCATAAAGCCTTTGGGCTACTTTTAACCTCCTTTTTATTTAAAACAGGCTACTTCCTTGGGATATAATTTCCTTTTTGGCTTTACCTTTTCATTCTGGTTAGTGCAACAGAATGATCTCAGATTCATTCCTGTTGCTAGTAATTCTGTGTCATCTGTACCTATGATTTTTAATTCTTTAATGTTATATTTAGGTTTTAGACCGAGGTCCAAAACAATACATACCTCACAAGAGTGTAAGTATGCCTCTCCAGTCACACTGAACTGGCTTCCAGAAGAAACTCCAGAAAAAATGACTGGTTTCTGCAAATGTGATTAAAGAAAGTAAATCAGAAAAGGCACCTCTGTCATTTACAGATAACAGGCTAAATCTTGCACTCCTTACTTAAGTCTTACTCATACAATATTCCTGCTATAATTTGACTTTTTTTGCCTGAGGAAAGACTAGATGAATGCTGAGTAATGACATCAAGATTATTTATTGAGAAGCTAATGAAGTGTCATGTTAGGGGCATTACTTCAATTGAGGGACAAGTAGAGTCACATTATCTAATGCTTCCCAGTGCTGAAGTTCCTGTGTTACCATGTTCTAAGAACGATTGTGTACAACCAAGTGTAATGAAAATAAAACATATTAAAGGTATTAATATGGGTACCTACTGGCCTCATCTAAGTCCATCCCATAACTGCCTGGGGCATTATTGCTCACATTGCTATGGCATTACGTGGCACAGGCACTGATGATCTGTGTTTCCTAAGGCTGAGTCAGCTGTTGTGGAGACTGCTTCCTGCTGCCATGCCCTGGTTTGGAGGGAAGGGACCCACACTGCTTGTTGCCTGGACACCTTGGGCCAAGAGCAGATGGATACATCAATAAAACAAGTCATGCCTGCAGCACAGCCAGGTGTCGTGTCTATGATTCTCCTCTGCTCTGGCAGCTGAGGGGTGGCTGGAGATGACTAATGTTACCTTCAGAGTGAGATTGGTATCAGCTAAATGACGTGAGAGCCATGCAGGTAAGGGAAGTCACTGCCTTTGCAGTGCAGACAGACAAGGCAGAGAAGGCAGGAGAATATAGCCTTGTTTTCCTGTATTTCTCTAGCTGATGAAATGATGCTGAGTCTGGTCAGATCAATCTGACCTGGATAACAAAGGCTGTCAGTAGCAACACTAGCAAGTAAAATTCAGGTTGTCCAAATTCCACTGCAGCACCTCGATCCAGTTTGGTGTACACATAATGAGCTCCTGCACTTGGGACAGGACCTGCAATGCATTTGTGGTGCAGCTGGGTCCCTCCTTTGAACCATGCTGAGCTGAAAAGCAGGAGCACTTCAAGCCACCAGCTGCCTTTGGGAGCCTTTCTACCTGTTACATAGTGCCTGGCCTGTGGGAGTCCTGCTGCTGTGGTATTCCCAGGTGGATGGCTGCCATACATAACCCCTTTAATAGCACTGAAACCACAGCAGCCTTGTGGGCAAGAGCTGTGTCCTAAGAGCTCTTATTCCTGAAGCACTCAGGAAAGAATTAAAGCTGTATTCAGGACCAGAAGGACTGACAACAAAATAAAGCCGTGTTACATTTATGGCATTGGAGACAAGAATGAGCTTTGAGGCAAGACTTGAAGCACTGGGTTTTGAGGATTTTGTGGTCCTCCAACTCTACCCAGTCTGAGATGGATGGTGACAATATTTCCTGCCATAGTAGAGTAATGGGTGTGGTTGTGTCTACCTGGAAAAGAAAACTTGAATTTGTCCCTTTTGAGCTAAACACTTCATATTTCTTAGTTATGTTAATTTTCAGTCTACTTCTGGTTCAGTTTTTAAACTTGGAAATTCAAAATATGTAAATACTTGAAGGCACACTGATTTCAAAACAGGTGTGCATATATACAAAATATTTTGTTTTCTGGACTAAGCTAGTTTATTCCAGGCAATGGAATGAGTATATTCTTGTAGTTTATATTGAGATTAATCCAGCACAACATGAAAATAGTCTATGACAATGATTGCAGGTATAACTCAGGGCACATTTTGAAGCTGTTCATTTGATCTTTTGACAGAGCATAGAAATAAAAATGTTGCTTATTTTCTTAAGTTGTGAAATATAGTTGTGAAATATACAGTCCACTGCTACTACTGTGTTTTTCGAATGACATTTAGCATAGTGAATTTCAGGACTTTTTTTCCTACAGTTACATGAGTACCAGCAGAAATTGTCACGAATAAAAATGAAATCTGAAACAGTATTTTTCTTAACTTTGTGTTATCTTCAAGGGCAATATTTTGCCCTCTACGAGCATAAACCTGGAGATTTCTGAGGTTTTTCTCATCTTTAACTCAGCAGACAGGGACTCTTATGGACATTCTATATAGAGACCAAGGGCAAACATTTCACCTAGGTCTTTTCTGCATACCATTCCATTTGTTAGGTTTTGATAACATGTTGAGATTGAATGGAATAAAATCTCTTCGATGATAGCTTTTTGTACAGTTGAGCAGATGTGGCCTCAGGGCTGAATTGGCTGACTCATTTTCATTTAAAACACACAATTTTGCCAGCTGGAAACTGCCAGCTCTTTTACACATATATGAGTTCAGGGATTTTGTGCTATGCATTGTTGAGTTTGGTGCAGCAGCATTTCTTTTTGAAACGTTTTCATAGTCACAGAACTTAACAACCCTATATAGCCCTATTCACCTCAGAGATTTGATTGTTAAAAGTTTAAAAAGTGCTCCCCAGCCAATGTTTCTTTGAGTTTAGAAATGTTCAAGTTTGGACTGTGCACTTTCGATTGCTTCATACTGCCTTCATTTAAAATTTTGATGACCTGTAGAATAATTGGAACAACTCCTAAGGATTTTCTACATGCTCTCATCAGCTGGGGGTCTGTTTTCATCACTGCCAGATTTTTCAAAAATATATGCTGTAACCCAAAGAGAAATCATCGGTCTCATAAAATTGGTGGATCAGGCTCTACAACCTGTGTTATGAAAGGGTTTGAGCCAGCTGGTTGTCACAGCATGTGTCTTACTGTCTTAAAAAAGACACAAATCTGTGAGTTGACCCAGATTTTCTTTCCCTGAATCTCCTATGCAATAGAAAATCTGTAGTGTTTACTGTTGCCAGAGTACCAGAAATCTGAATTTTGTTAGGCAGGGAGAAGCATAAAAGCAGTTTTGCTCCAGTAGGTCCTTTTTAAAGTATTACCAGACTCCTCTAAACAGATGACAGGGGAATAACTTTTGCCATTCCAATATACAGCAGAATAACTGAACTTGGCTGTTGCAAAACAGAGATTCTGCATGAGTAAGTTTTAAGACTCACGGGCTGCCTCTGATGCTTCCAGACTTAATTTTCATGCTAAATTCAAAGTGGCTTTTGCCTGTGTGACTGTAGGGAGCAGTGTTTCCAACATAACTGAATGGCTTGTGGCCTGAATGATTAAGGTGATAAAGGGAGAGGGAGCTGGTCTGGGACAAGACTAGCTGTAAGCTACTGCAGTGTAGTCTGCACTAGATACCTGGGCTAGAATTTCCCTACTGGATCCCTGTTTATAAATCCCTAAGCCTTTTAATTAGGTATGGAAAGGAGCAAAAAACTGGATAGAGAGGTCATTTAACTTTGTCTTGATCCAAGCCACTCTTAGCAGAGTAATTTTCATTTTAAGCAGGAAGCTCTTGGAACTGAGCTATTATTCTACCATAACTTGTCTACAGTGCTTCCACACGTACAGTGCTTCCACACCTTTCAATACAATTGTCTCTAGGAAGTGTGTTGCCCTTTTTTTACCCAAAACCCACTGAAGTCAGTAGCCACATTTGCAGTGGACTTTGAATGTTGGCCTCAGACAAGTAGGGAAGTATTTGCATTACCACAAGTAATTACATCTTTCCTTATTACATTTTTGTTTTATTAAATTTAATGCCCTACTCCTGTTATATAAATGTTCATGTTATTGTGCTAGTAAGTTTATTAGCTTGTACTATACATGCAGTATCCTCTGAAGTTTTTCCATAGAGCTTAATGGGACCATTAGATCTCAGAAGGATTGAGGAAAACTAGTTTTCAGTGGACTGCCTATTGCCTGGGTAAATGTAAGTGGGAAAGTAAGAAGGAAGAATTCTATTATTAAGTCCTAGAACTTTCTTTTGTAAAATATATAACCGAGTCTCTCAATTTACAGCATTTTTATACTTTCCCTATCATGGGCTAATAAAATATTATTTTCTGCATGTTTTGTGGTGCAAGTCTTGCAGTCCTGGGTCAGTGCTCATAGGAGCTGAATCAACTGACTGTGGGAATAGCTGCCTCACTTTCATGGGCACCAGGTTTGCATTAGCTGGAGTCTTGGACTATTATTTGTAAATTTTAAAACCGGGAGCCAAGATAGGTTTGCAGTTATAACTTCTGTAATTTACTGATTGCACAGACAACATGCAGGGTGTGTTTCTCCAAGTTGTGCATAAGAATCCACACAGTGTTTTGGTTGCCTTTCACCTGAAGAAGCAAGAATTAA